ACAGAGAAGAAGAGGAGAGAGAAGGGGGAGGGGGTGGCGATGAAAAGAGGGACAAATTTGAGAAGAGATATGAAGAAAGAAGAGAAAGGAGTTATGGAATCTGGGGAAGAGGAGGATAGGAAGGAAGAGAGGGGGAAGGGGAGAGGCGAGAAGGGAGAGGGGGGGAAGGCAGATGCGGCGGGTCAGGTGTGGCCTCGTTATATCCGGCTCTTGTGGTGGCCAGTCTAACACACCGGGCCATCCACACACAGCCCCCACTACCTCCTTAATCACTACCATAACAAGAGGTGTAGAGGGATGGTAAGGGGGGAAGGGAAGGGGAAGGAGAGGAAGAGGAGAGGGGGAGGAGACAGAAAATGATCAATACAATCTCTGTATAAAATAGTTGTTCTCAGTTCCAGCTCATGTGTCTGGCATGGACATCGTATACTACCATAGTAATTCACAATAACAAACTATTTCTCCTCTACACTGACCTTACACTAGAAGAATATTATATACCGTATGGATGAGATATGATCAAAGTTACGGTTATATTCGTGAATCTTGACCCTGATGGATATGATGCTTGTGTGTGTGGTAGATTGACACACGCAGTAAACATGGATATGGGGGCTTGTTGTGGAAGGAGAGTGGCTTAGGAGGATATATCTACAAGAGACAGTAAGGGAGAATGGATGGTGTCGGATAAAAGGAGAATGTGTGTGGGTATAATGTTGTAAAAGAAAAAAAATGAAAGAGTAAAAGATAATAATAATGATAATACTAATAAATAACAAGAAGAACAATAAACCAAATAAGAAAGGGAAGAAGGAGAAAAAAATAGATCATCCATGAAAAGAAAAATATTACCTCATAAATACTCAAAATAAAAATAATCTCGACTTATCAGAACAACAAAACTCGATGGTGTAGCCAAAAAAACACAAAAAGTCCAGAAAATATTGAGTTTGATCCTCCACCCCCCCCCCCCCAAAAAAAAATTCTCAACCAATAGATATAGGATTTTCAATATACCTAAAAAAAATAGGACTGTCATAACACTAAAATTGTCCCTAGTATTGAAATGGGAAAAGCTGATATTGCCATTGAGTTTATTGAGTTCGCCCCCTATGACGTCACTATGTAAACAGACTTCTCTCCCTCCCATTGGATCCCCACAAGTACCATACTCAGTCTCCCCTCCCCTCCAGTACCTACACTTCCCCCTCCCATCCAGTAACCCTCCCATCCAACAACAACCCCTCCTCCAGTAACCCCCTCTAGTAACCCTCCAGTAACCCCCCTTACTAAAAATCAGAGAGGTGCATTGAGAAAGGAAAAACACATACAGTATTTGAAAGGAAAGGGAGGACGTGATGATTTAGGGAAGGGGAGAAAGGAAAGATTAAGAGATGAAGCGAACGAAAGAATATAGGAATTGGAAGAAGGGAGAAAATTGGGAATAAAGGAAAGATTTAGGAATTAGGAGAAAGGAAGGATATAGGTTGGGGAGGTACGAGGATTTGTGGGAAATTCCAAGAAGAAATAATCTGGAGATGGGAAAGGAGAGAGAGAGAGAGAGAGAGAGAGAGAGAGAGAGAGAGAGAGAGAGAGAGAGAGAGAGAGAGAGAGGCTCCATTAGCTTTAAGTAACACCACCATCACCAACATGGGGAGATGTGTAGACCCGTGACACCACTACAAGTTCATTAACACTAAGGTAGTCAAATGAAGCCTTTTTCTCTCTCCCCCTTTCTCGTTGTTCCTTGAAAATCCGCCAGAGTTTCTTTCCCGGAGCTCAGAAACATTCTCAAATACCTTGATAAAACTTTGTATATAATTTGAGCTTACGATAAAAAAAAGTTCCATTTGCTAATTTCAATATTATTTTCATAGAGGGATCAATAGGTGTCTATGTGGCCTTAGCTCCTTTGTGTTACGTTTTATTTTCTAATTTAGAGAATGAGTCTTACGTGAGTCATTGTGTAAAAGAGTATTATTTAGGTATTCTTTATATACAGAATTGTGGTTCGTCGTCATTATAGTTTTCAATATCCTGGTGGGAATATCTTGGAACATTTCCAGTGTCGTCTGAGATATTCGACACCACTTGCCACTGAGAACAAGCTGGGTGAAGATGGTAGAGGGTAACAGTTGAAGAAAATTTAGATCGTAAATATGACAAAGGAAACATTTATGATTCTTTGGTACAACGACACAAAATAAATCGGTTTATCTGAGAACTTTCATGTCCACGTCCCATAACGAACCGAGAAGCCGCTTCACTCAGTCATTTTAACAGGTGTTGTAAATTCAATCACTGTTCTTAGTCTCACCTCAACATCCAAAACATTATTCTGATATCTTTAAAAATAATTTAAGTTTGATGTTTTGAACCGAAAAGAATTCATCTGTAGAGCGGTTATTGAGGGATTTTCTGTAACATAAAATTTCATGTTTCTTGACTATTTTAAGTTGATCTATAATCTGTAACACAAACCACAAAACTTTCTGGGATATTTACCCATATTCAAAAATTCTCTGAAGTTATTTTAGAAGCTTAACCATCAAGAATCCTCACACAAAAAGAAACTTGTTCTGACTCAAAGTGAATCAGAATTTGTGTTGTTAATAACCATTTTAAATATTAAAAACTCTTATTCTTTGGCCTTCATGCGAGAAAGAAAATTGTATGACCTTTGAATCGTTTGGTCTGATAATTGGAGCAGATTTCATGGGAAAATAATTGATGTTTTTTCGATTATTGTTTTTTACTAAAGAATGTCTACCTGTCTTTCTAATTTTTGACAAGCTTTGCTCTCTTAGTAACTTGGTTCCATTAATATTATAAACTTTAGTATTGTTGAAGGAGTTTAGTTCACTGAAAAGAAAAAAATACCATATATATTTTTTCTTCCACATATTTGGCACTACTGTTGATGTTTCTTCCCCACCTACAACAGTCTTATAGGAATTTCTTGTTATAGGGTTCATACACACGCGCCTTATACACGCTCTACAGTTCTTTATGTTCGTCTCAGTCTATAGTTGTGAGAAAATATAGATATTACGTGTTTTAGGGATATTTGTCCTCTTAAGCCTTAATTTACAACTGAAGGTTTTGTGACGGGGATATATTTTTTCCCCACAGTAGTAACAACGCGCAAAACTATGAATATATGGCAATGATGAGTGGCTTTCGTACTTTTCCTTGAATAGGTTAGGTTAGGTTCACGTCAGGTCAGATCAGGTTCAGGTTAGCATTTATACAATTCATTTATGGCTTTTGTAAACTCCAGCGGCAAATGCTGTGTTCTTAATTTTGTTGATGTGGCACCACTGTACCCGTTAGCAATCTGGAAGACGTGGCATCGATGTTACAGGTCAGCTGGAAAATAAATATTAGCTGTTATTATATATATTTTTTCTTTAATTTCCATCTAATAACTTTAAGGAGGCGCATAATTTGGGTAGTTTACAGTAATTATGTAACGCATACAAGTGGAAAAGGTTTGCGAAAAATATTGGCGGTTACTTACCGTTAAACCGTTGGCAACGGCCAGACACAACCAACCCTGCGTCTAGTAAAGCTGCCCGCCCGGCCTCCCTGATTTTGTGTTACGTGAGTTTTTACATAATTGTTGTGTTGTAAAGTGAACAGCCATATGCTAATGAAGTATACAGTGTATTAAATCAATTGATGGTCAGCCCAGTAGTGTGTAAGGCTGGGCTGTTTATTTTCGGATGATTTTTGCCCCCACCAGAGCGTAGTACTTAGGTCGGTTGTGAACGAATTGTACAGTCAACCAAGCAGTAACAGAGACAGAATGTTTTGGTGTATGGAGATATCTGGCAGCCCCTCGGTAATAAATATTCGTATTATTATAAATGCATCACACGGAGACGCTACAGCTTGTGAAAGGAGTGCAGTGATTGGCCGGAGTATTTAGCATAAGTAAAACCGCCAGTCTCATTTAATGCTATAGAAGCTTATTACTGATTATGTGGGAGTAATCAAGAAGGGAAGTTTCCATTAAAATACAAATACAAGCTCAAGAAACGGGAAGAATGTAATTAATATACAGGAAAAAGCAAAAAAAAAATAGTATTTGGCATCGTGACAGGTGTGAGGACGCCGGCGGTAACTGGATTATGTCGACGAGTCAAGGAAGAGGGTGGTGAAGCGTCTGGGTTTCTACGAGTCTCTTATGTAACTAATAACTGTATATATTCATTCACAAGGCGACTCTGTATTATGAACTTCCTTTGCCTTGTTTCCTATTAACAAGCACTTCACCCCATCTCGTCCCAAACTAGGTAACCAGGTCATTTCAGTATGGGTTTCTTTTCAGCCAGTTAAAAATAAGTAATATGTCAAAGACTGAAAGTGACATGTCAACTGTCTTAAGCATTTTCATACACTATGCTTTAAAATCTTGTTCAGTCACTGTTGCTGGTGATGACGCTCTGGTGATCGATTAAGTAGCCTACTGACACCAAGTGGTTGTAAATAACCTGGTACTTCCTCCTCTGGGCCTCCTATTCCTCCTCCATTTGGTGCATGAGATGTGGCGTCCTCACCTCGGCAGGCTCCCAATCATTCTCTTATGAGTTTAGGTCACAGCTACTGGTCAGCCAAGTCATGGGGGGTCTACGTGTTGCTACTCTTTGAACGGTTCCATGCCGATTCAGTCCCTGTTCAACCCAACCCCTGTCAACCCAACCCCCGTCAATCCAATTTCTGCCAGCTCACCCCCCATTCACCTCAGCGGGGTCTGGTAGCACAAACACAACACTTAATCCCATACTAGAGGCATTTTCTCTGAATGCCGGATAAGTTCTTTTCTTAAATTTCATATTATGTTCACCTACCCATAAAACAAGATACTCTATAGTTATATTTTGAATGATATAATATTGTAACATACCTGCAGTTATATAACATTATATTCCCAGTAGCTATATTTTATTTTACATAACATAGCAATTAAATGTATTTTTCTCCACCTCCAGCTGTGCACACGTCGGCCATGGCGATGGTGAGCGAGCGCGCGCGCCTACCCTGTGACGTGACCTCTGCCTTGACGAACGACCGGGTGGTGCTGATCCTGTGGTACCGTGGCTCTACCGGCACGCCCATCTACAGGTACTGTACCTTAGGACTCCCCCCTTCTGTCCTGCAAGAGGCCTTGGCGAAGTTCATGTTTTAGAAGGTGGTGATGAGGATAATGAAGTGGTAAATGATTTTACCATGAGGGAGAAGATGAAAGAGAGAAGGAAAGAATAGAAACGGCAAGTAAAGTAGTCGGGAGTAATAGCAGGTGGGCTGTCCACCTAGCTGAGTCGAGGTCTAACACAGCACGCGCCAGATCACTCAGGGGAGGCTGAAGGGGGCTAAGCTAGCTAGTGACTTGACTAGATTAGAGGGTGACTTAGATAAATAAAGTTACAAAACCCTACATCAGATAGATGAATAGATAAATATATAGACATTCCTAAATCAATAGACAAATAGAATTAATAGATAAATAGATAGATGGATGGATGGATATATAAATAGATAAGTGGAGAGAGAGATCAACACACAGCGCCCATTTCATACACAGGGTATAAAAGTACATACGAATATTTTAAGTAGTATTGCACAAAAGGACTATATATTGTATCTGAGTTTATTGAGTGTACCGTGTGTTGTTCCTGGAAGTGAGGAGATATTACAGCTGTTTTTATTGGTTACTCGCTCTTACTTTAATTTCATTGGTGTTTTTACGACTAATTGTATCAAGTTCTGGTGTGTGTGTGTGTGTGTGTGTGTGTACATTTTTGCTTCTGTGTATGTCTCGGGGTGTGTACACTATTTTACAACCAATTTCTTGATTGCTCTCTTAGGTACGATACATTTACCCCCCTTCTAACTTGATTACATGTCCTCTCTGTCAACATCTCCAGTACGTATCCCCCTCGATAGCTTGAGTACATGTATCACCAACGTGTCCACCCTGCAACACAAGGTCGCTTCTCCTTGGTTCCTCTTTATATTAATGGGTCTTAACTCCTTACCTATAATCGGTTTCAATTAATCTCCCCTCTCCTCCCTCCCCTCCTCTCTCTCTCCCCCCTCCCCTCCTCTCTCTCTCCCCCCTCCCCTCCTCCCTCTCTCTCCCCTCCCTCCTCTCTCTCTCCCCCTCCCCTCTCTCTCTCCCCTCCCCTCTCTCTCTCCCCTCCCCTCCCCTCTCTCTCCCCTCTCCCTCCTCTCTCTCTCCCCTCCCCTCCTCTCTCTCCCCCCTCCCCTCCCTCTCTCTCTCCCCCCCTCCCCTCTCTCTCTCTCCCCCTCCCCTCCCTCTCTCTCTCCCCCTCCCTCCTCTCTCTCTCCCCCTCCCTCCTCCTCCCCTCCCCTCCCCTCTCTCTCTCTCCCCCCCTCCCCTCCTCTCTCTCCCCTCCCCTCCTCTCTCTCTCCCCCCTCCCCTCCTCTCTCTCCCCCCTCCCCTCCTCTCTCTCTCCCCCCCTCCCTCCCTCTCTCTCCCCGTCCCTTCCTCTCTCTCCCCCGTCCCCTCTCTCTCCCCGTCCCCTCTCTCTCCCCCTCCCCCCTCTCTCCCCCTCCCCTCTCTCCCCCTCCCCCCTCCCCCTCTCTCTCCCCCTCCCCTCTCTCTCCCCCTCCCCCTCCCCCCTCTCTCCCCCCCTCTCTCTCTCTCTTTCTCTCCCCCCTCTCTCTCTCTCTCTCCCCCCCTCTCTCTCTCTCTCTCCCCCCTCTCTCCCCTCTCTCTCTCTCTCTCTCTCTCTGATATGGTGACAGACAATAATTCCCAATGCTAATAGCCCTTACAATTATTCACCCTTGATCGCCAGAGGTCGTGATCAATGGCACTTACTATTGCCGCTAATCACTACGGCCGCGACCGATAATGATCAGTTAGTGTGATGAATGGTGATCAATGGATAAGAATCAACTATCTGAGTGCCACGATATACATTACTAATCAATCGTGGTTAGGTTAGGTTAGCGTTAAAAGGGTATATTCTCATTTCTTGTGCTGTAGTCTGTAGTCGAAGAAAAATGCATAAAAGTTTTATTACTGTGTATAATGAAGTTCAGAACATATGCATGATGACCTAGCGTGTGTGTGTTGGTTAGTGTGACTCACCTTGTGTTTTAGTTAAATGTCTGTGTTAGTTTGTCTCTCGTGGGTGTTGCTTTTTTTTTTGACTGTGTGTCTGTACTTGTCTGTTATTATGTGTTTGAGAATGTATTTATTTCTGTCTCTGTCTCTGTGTGTTTGAGAATGAGTTTATCTGTATTTGTTACCTGTCTGTCTGTCTGTCTGTCTGTCTGTCTGTCTGTCTCTGTCACACATTCGTTTTCAATACATTATTACTGCCAGAGTACAAAGGTTCCACTATGCGAGAGACTGCAAATTGATGACATTGTAGGACATTGTCACGAAATGAATGACTCCCCCCCTCCTTCACTCTCCCTCCATCCCTCCTTCTCCTATCACCCTCCCCCACCCTCCCCCACCCTCCCCCACCCCCTCCTACCCTCCCCACTAGCGTCCAGGGTCTGTGTGTGTGATTGTATTCCACAGGAGAGGAACGCAGTTATTTTGGACGTGCCCTTTTTTTTGTCCACTGAACTATACACCCGATGAACACAGAGCAATTAAATAAAAATAAAAAATAGCTGAAACAATTGTAGAGGTGAATGAATAGTAAAATTTCCAATCATAGAGTAAATGTGTAGTGAAGAGAACAATAAAATAGGAAGAAAATAATAACTATAATAATAACGGGTAGTTGGGGGACGTTATTTGTAATTTAGGCGTATTAGTGAGGCAAGAACATCGTCTCTCTAATGAAATTTGTATCTTATTTGCATAGCCTTGTCATGGTTATTCATACTACAAGGATACGTGTGTGTGTGGGGGTGTGCATGTTGCCCATTTTCATGCAAAGTTTATGTGTATTTCTGGTAACAAAGTAGATAAGTGAAGTAAAATAAAGATAATTGTCCTATTAAGCCTTAAGACTCCGCTGAACTTTTTGTTGCTATAACTTAATGGAACTTAGGGTTTATTGTCTGCCGTATAGACTATCACTTTCGGGACACCAAAAGCAAGATGTAAATGAACGTGAATCCCCTTTACATTTCCTTTAAAGATTAAGTTAAACACAAGAAAAATCACCTGAAATCATTTTATTTTGAACCGCAGGATAGTCAGCCGATTCATATGTAAACAATAAACTGAACACTTGAGATCTCGTATAAATTTATTGGGAAAGAAGTCTTCGAAGAGTCACTTTTGTTACCGATATTTTTCCGATTAAAACTTTTCTCCCGATTTAATGTGAGGAGTCAGTTTCTTATTGCTTCCCGGCCGTCACTCTTCACCTCACTCAATAAACGGAGGATGTGTCTATGGCAGGGCAGGATGGTGTACCTCCCAGTGTCTGTCAGAAGAAGATTAAAAAGTATTATCAGTCGTTTAGAGGGAAGTTTGGGCTCCCTCACCTGTGTATAGTTTTTCTTTACCTGTAATTACTTCCACTTCAGCCATTTTTATTTTCCGCTTCAACTATACTTACTTCTCTTTTCACCCACACTTACTTCCCCTTTCCCCCACACTTACTTCCACTTTCCCCCACACTTACTTCCCTTTCACCCACACTTGCTTCCACCCACACTTGCTTCCACTTTCACCCACACTTACTTCCCCTTTCCCCCACACTTACTTCCACTTTCCCCCACACTTACTTCCCCTTTCCCCCACACTTACTTCCACTTTCCCCCCACACTTACTTCCCGCTTCATCCAAATTTACATAATCAACACCATATTTGCATTTACCCGAAGATGACATTCCTTACTTAAGTCCTTCTCAGAGCTTCTTTGGCCGGTGCTGTAGGATCTTAAATGTTAGGAGGCAGGATACCCCCCCCACCTCCTCCCACTCCTCCTTCGGGATAGACACATCCATATTCATCGCCGTGTTTCTTGTGTGCTGGAGGAAAATAACTAGTCAGTCTCTACCCAGCTGTTCAAGACTGATGTTGAAAGGAAAGAAGTGTTTTTTTTTAACTCCGTACATCGTGTGGATTTCCTTCGTGTGTTTTTAAAGTGTTGGCTCACAGTAGTTAGGTTAGGGTGGAGAGTTGAATCTGTTTCTCAATTTTAGTTTTTTTGTACAAGACTCACAACCGTATATGGATGTTTGGGTTAGTAAATTACATTAATTCTATCATACGGTAAAATCTAATCCAGTTTTGGGATATATTTGTTTTTGTGCGTCAGTAAATTTGTTAAAGAATAAATTAATATATTCAATTGAAAGTGTTAAGACAGTATCTCTCACTCAACACAGGTCACCCCAAGTTCTGGAGCTGACTTTAAAAATTTCAACTCTCCTCCTCTTGGAAAATCCTGACACGTCCAGCGAATCACACAGGAGTCAATATTCTATGCTTGTTGTTGATCATTGATGTCGCCTCGAGTTTCCTTTGTCTCCACGTCAAGGAACTCTACTTGTGGTCCTTCCCGTTGATCTTTCTAAGGTGTATAAAGAATTACCTCGAGGTGATATTACTCTCTTGATCTTTTTCTAGGGAGTATTACTCTTATTGATCTTTCTCTCTGGGGGATCAGGCGTGTTCAAAGTCCTTTTATTTGTCTCTCTAAGGTTATGTATGTCTTTGGTTACGTATTACTCATGGATATCTTTGAATAGAAATCCTTGTTCTTGAGATGACTTTATGTATACCGGTAAATATTTTTTGGGGGGAAGTTACGTTGTGTTTAAATCCTCTTATGGGTTATGTCGCTTTTATAACATTTAACAGGTGAGGGTCATAACCTCCTCCCTCTCCTCCACCGCCTTGTTCAATAAATAGTTTCGTCTAGGTGAGGGAAACGACACGGCATCTTTTAAAAAGTCTTCTCCTGGAGGGGTGGAAAAAATACGGCTTTCAATAAAGTTTCAATCAAGGCGAAGACGTCGTCAAATGTCGGTAGCCGGAAGCTGCGATAGCAACACCCCCCTCCCAACCTGATGACTTCAACTTCCACAACTGAGCCAAGTTTTCCTCTCCTTTACTCCAGATGAGCAAATCACATTTATCTTACGACCACCGACCGCAGGCTAATACTCTTATCCTAACCACCACCCAGTCAATGTTTGTGGTGATTCTCTGACGTATATCAACGGCCAGCCAATCATCACGACACTGATCTGATGAGTAGTAAGTGGACGTCTGTTGATCAAAATACAAAGTAATCAATGACACAAAGTTGACCGATAAAAACGTACATTTCAGCCTCACAAATAACACCTGTTGAAGTTATTAATTAATCAGAAACTTTAATTATCAACTGTAAAGACGTTCTCCTTCCTCAAAAGTTTACCTGTGAAGAAGCTGATGTTAAAGATATTCCAGCAACAAGTGGATATGAACTAAATGAACACTATATATTTACGTGTATGATATTACGAGCATATAAGTCTTAGGTAATTTTAATATCTCTCCCAGAAATATTATAGAAAAATATATATATTCTGTCGTACTCGTGGTTTCCTTGTCAAAAGAACGTCTCTGTTACATAGATTTCTATTTCACATTCAATATTTACACAGTGACGCACGAGGCTTATCTTGTTCCTCCATCACAGCCGCAATAAAATATTTTAACGTTTCAATCAAATCCTCCCTCTGGAAGATATTCCTCCCAGTGATATGAAAGGGAGAGAAAATATCTTCTCTCCCGATCTGTCTTCGGTATAATTCCGGTTTCCTGGAGAGTCTCAATTGGTCGGCGTCTTTGATCCAGTCGGGTTGAAAGGTCCAGCTCGCTCTCTCTCTCTCTCTCTCTCTCTCTCTCTCTCTCTCTCTCTCTCTCTCTCGCTCTCGCTCTCGCTCTCACTGGATATGAGCTCACCTTAAAAACACTAGATTCTTGTTTTGTTGGTTCACACTACAACGTGTTTACCTTTGTCTGAGGCTACGTAGAAAATATTTAAGTAGTGGAGGATTAGTGTACACAGTGGGTGTTGCTGCTGGAGAAACAGTTTTAATGTGAGGGAAGTGTACAAACAGTGTTGGGAGGTGTCGGTGAAGCAGTGATGCGAGTGTTAAGTAAATTCCTACACCCACAAGAGGTGTTGTTGGATAAGTACTCAGGTGTGTGTGTTAAGTGTTGACCTACATATATACACACATAGAAATAGAGACTGTTATCACGCGCACACACAGCATAAAAACAAAAGCGTCCCATATATGAGTATAAAACGGGGGCCCAATAGAATCATTTAATGGGAAATTTCACGTATTAGCCCCGACACAGGGATTAGCTGACGAACGCCTGTGTCAAAGTAACTCGTATACGTTACTGATAATGGCTGATGTGTCTGATAATGGCTGATGTGTCTGATGTGTCTGCTAATGGCTGATGTGTCTGATGTGACTGATAATGACTGATGTGACTAATAATGGCTGATGTAACTTATCAGACAAAGAGAGAGAGAAACTAAAAATTTGATTACTGAATATAGAAAATCTCTCTCTCTCTCTCTCTCTCTCTCTCTCTCTCTCTCTCTCTCTCTCTCTCTCTGACCCTTGATAGCAATTCACGTACAGGCAGAGCAGACCAATGCTGTCGATGGTGGAAAAATATTGATTTATACGTTTATTCATAGACTCAAAATATAATAATTTTTTTTTGTGTGTGTATAACGAGAATGTGGGGTCCGGTAAACCTATTTTTAGAGAATCATTTATTGTTGCATCTGTCATAAAACATAACTGAACTGATAATATTTGTGCATAATAATAGGCATTAATTTCGGTGGATTTGATCAAGCGGGGCGTATGTTTATTGAATGATGATATTGTTTTTTTTTTTTGTGTGTTTTTGTGTGTGTAATTTTCTAATCTTCTCTGGTTTTGGAATATTTTGTTTTTAAGTTACATGGAAAATATTAATTCTTTAACTGAGAGGAATTAGTTAGATGTGTGTTGGTAAGGAATCAGAAGCGGGTACAAAGTGCTGTGGATTTTGAGGGAAAAAACATTTAATTAGTGTGTCATTGTAAGGTCAAATAAGTATATGTTAAGGCTGACGTTAGGGCTTAGGTTAATCTATACAGTTTCGTATAGTTTGATTGTTACTAGTCCTTGTGTATATATTGTCCAGTGTATGATTCCTCCTCTGTATGATACTTTTGAGTTAATTTGAGGCTTATAAATACGAACCTGGTGGAGAGAATATAATTTAGTGTTGTTTATTATCCTTATTGTTTTCATCTCTAGCGGCTGGTGTTTGTTACTCTATGCCTCGCCTTGTACTTGACTATCGGGAAAATTTTGATGGGAGTGATGGCATAACAGTAGGTATATGGAGATTATTACTCCACCATGTACAGTATATGGCTTCATGGTAGGAGTAGGAGGTATATTATTACTCCACCATGTACAGTATATGGCTTCATGGTAGGAGTAGGAGGTATATTATTACTCCACCATGTACAGTATATGGCTTCATGGTAGGAGTAGGAGGTATATTATTACTCCACCATGTACAGTATATGGCTTCATGGTAGGAGTAGGAGGTATATTATTACTCCATGTACAGTATATGGCTTCATGGTAGGAGTAGGAGGTATATTATTACTCCACCATGTACAGTATATGGCTTCATGGTAGGAGTAGGAGGTATATTATTACTCCACCATGTACAGTATATGGCTTCATGGTAGGAGTAGGAGGTATATTATTACTCCACCATGTACAGTATATGGCTTCATGGTAGGAGTAGGAGGTATATTATTACTCCACCATGTACAGTATATGGCTTCATGGTAGGAGTAGGAGGTATATTATTACTCCATGTACAGTATATGGCTTCATGGTAGGAGTAGGAGGTATATTATTACTCCACCATGTACAGTATATGGCTTCATGGTAGGAGTAGGAGGTATATTATTACTCCACCATGTACAGTATATGGCTTCATGGTAGGAGTAGGAGGTATATTGGTCTATCTTTTGTTTTCTTATCTCGTTAAAATAATTCTGATTCTCTGTGATGAACAAGATAACCGAGTGTCTTTGTGATAATGTCAATTTACTTAAAAGTTTTAAAAGCAACACTTTGGCCCATGAATATTGAATCTAACTTCCTTCAATGTGGAAGTTTACGAGGCAGGAGGATTTAACATCTGAACTTTCTCTCTCTCTCTCTGAAAACAAAAAACATCATAAATCAGTAAATTACAATCCTCGGTTTGATGCACAGAGAACTAATTGTAATTGCAGGAACGTATCCTTCATTATTGCGAGTTCCTACACTCGGCCCACTGATGAAATGTTATACAATGAAAATTCACCAACAATGAACTTACTGCTTTCTTCACAGTTTCAGAAGCTTAAGTACCTCATGTACAGAGTTTATCCTGAAACATTTACTTTAATTCTTATTTTCACTTTCCTATTAATATATGTCCCCATAACCATCACATTATTCCCTGTTACAGTTTCGACGCTCGAGGGACGACCATCCATGACGGGAAGCACTGGTCAGACGAACGACTCCTGGAGAAGCGCGCGTACTTCGAACTGCTCTCAAGCAATACGTGGAGTGGGTCGACAGCCCCAGGAGCTCACCTGGAACTGTTCCCCGTCCAGGACCGCGACCAGGCCACCTACCGCTGCAGGGTCGACTACCAGCTCTCCCCAACCAAGAATACCATTGTCAACTTCACCGTCATAAGTAAGTACCAGTTTTTGTTAAGTATTAAAGAAAAAAGGGGAGTTAAATAGCGACGAGGATTATGGACATATCGCCTTGTACATATCTGGTTCTTTTAGAATTAAAGGGTTCTCTTCTTCTGGTTCCTCACCTTTGTCACTGGAAGCCCTGAATGGATGATTCTCTCGCTAGACCCTGGCTGTCTTTTCGTCCCAGGGGACGCTTGATGGAGTTATCAGTCTTAGGGAAAGAATTTATAGCCCTAATTTTTGTCGACACGAGTGATTTACCCTTCTCGCTGGTTGGGTAAGACACGTGTTGACAAATAAGAGCAAGTTGCACCAAGCCGATCAGGTGCCTGGGCGTCAAGATTTGTCGAGGTTTCATACACTTTTTTTTAAGATCAATAAATTTACCTCTTCCATAGCGCGAGCTGCTCTCGGGATATGAGGCAGAGTCTTGGTGTTAGTTCCTTTTATTGTCTCCAGGAGATTTTCTGGAGGTTGGAGGCTCGACACAGTGGCACAGTCGAGGTCATGTGGCAAGTGTTGAGCTCTTCTCCCTGTGGGGGAGCCTCCCTCCGCCAGGGCAGTCACCATGCTTCTTCATGGACCTGCTTTTAGGGTTAATGCTGCGTTATATATATATATATATATATATATATATATATATATATATATATATATATATATATATATATATATATATATATATATATATATATATATATATTCTGACGATAGCCATTAGCACGGTGTAGGTCCTCACTCGGAAGATTAATCTCGTGATGGAGTGATGTGAGGTAAGGTAAATCCAGCCTCACTATCAGGCCACTCAGCGCCCTTTAGTACCTCCTCCCGGCCCTCCTACAGGTATACCACTCCTCCAGGCTCTCTCCTCCTCACTACTCACCCAATTTAGAATACAAATCTTTACTCATCAAGTTGTTAGTTTTACTACTACGCCGAGCAGGTCAAGTTCCATTGATCATTTCCCTACTGTCAGTTGTGCCTCTTGGCTGTTGTCACCGCCCTGTATGGTGGCCCCATCTCTCACATCCGTAGGCTCTCGTCTGTTCTTAAATTATCTCGTTCCCTGTAGTTAGACCCAGTGTATTCAACCCTCTAATCAACTCTCAACCCTCGTCACATAGCTAACGCCTTCCCTCCTCACTCCTAACACACTAAACACCTTCCCTCCACCCTCCTAACACACTAAACACCTTCCCTCCACCCTCCTAACACACTAAACACCTTCCCTCCTCCCTCCTAACACACTCAACACCTTCCCTCCACCCTCCTAACACACTAAACACCTTCCCTCCAGCTGAACCCTTACTCCTGGTGGCATACACTCCTCTCTCACAGTACGGTCAGTTTTCGATGTTTTTCGCGTCGATATGGATGTAAGTATAGGTTTGTCTACACTTACACGATACTGAAGAAAAGGGAAGAGTTAACCAAAGGAAATAATGATATAGAAGGGATTAAACTGCTTAACTTGTAATAAGGAGTTCAGAGTTGGTTCAATACGAGAACTGTTTTTTTTTTTTTTTGGTGGGGATCTCTTGAGTTTGTACGTGTCTAAAGGAAATGTTTATAGTGTGTCTGGGTTTAAAAATAAGGTTGATGTTTATAATTCATCGCTCACTTATTCATTCACTCACTAACAGTAATAATAATAAAAACAACAACATTGCTAAATTTACGACAGACGTCTCGACAAAGCCAAATAAACCAACTTGAAACGAACAAACGAACTGATGACAAAAATCTAAAGCTAAATCTCACGAAACTGGAAGTGATAAAAATCGTAAACACAGAATAGAAACTAGATAGACCAAGACATAAGACGTGAGAGTTGTATGAAAGAATTACCGTAGCCATCTTCCATTGAGAAGCGGAACATCTCTGTACCTAATCTTGGGCCACTAGAGACGTTTAGGTATCTGGAGTGACTTAAGACGGTGATTCAATGTCTCTTGAGAATCACTGAGGGAGGAAGGAATGGTATCGCTTTTAGCTGGATAAGTCGTGGTGGACGTCTGGGGAGGTAAGGGGAGGGGTATGAGCCGGAGGGAGGAAGGGACGGAGATGATGATGGTGGGGATGGAGAAGGGGAGGGGAGGGGGGACAGGCAGAAGAGAGGAAGATGACAGAGGGACAAACAGACAGCAAAGTGACGGTCGAAAGAGAGAGAGAGAGAGAGAGAGAGAGAGAGAGAGTAGGACGAGAGGGATGGATGCTTAAGGGAGGAGAGTAAAGGTAGGGGGGATGAAGGGAGGTAGGAAATATGGGAAGTAAAAACGACGTAAGGGAAAGGGGCAGAGATTAAGGGAGGTATTGCCGACGAGAAGGAGGGAAAGCTGGAGAGAAATACATGCAGAAAGAGGAGGAATTTGCGAGAGAGAGAGAAAGAGATAAACAAGTACAGAAGGGGGAGGAAAGGAGTAAGGGAAGGGGAGATAGAGAGAAGCACGTACACAGATTGCGTGGGGAAAGGCAGGAGGAAGATAAAACACAGAAGGTCGAGTCTTTATGTATCACAGAAACTGGAGGAAAATTAAGAATCTAAACTTTCACCCAAGTTTAGTCTCGAGATTTTGTGATAATTTTTTGTCTTTTTCTTGATTAGTTGAGTGAAACATTTGAGTGTGTGTGTGTGTTACTGAAGTGTTTGGCAATATGTTCGTGTATGTTTTGAGTGTTTGTATTATGCTGAGGGGCGAAAAAGGGTGTGTTTTTTCAGTGTGTTTTATTTTTTTTTTTTATATATAGTCTATCTACAAATATATGTTTTAGAGAAGAGAGAGAGAGAGAGAGAGAGAGAGAGAGACATTCAATGCTTTTCCACTAACTATTCGTATTCTCATTAGTCTTACATTAACGAGTTGTTTGGCCATTAGCAAGTTGCATTAGTTCGGATTCCCCAACAATTTTCGGCTTGCCCAAGTTCAATTAGCCATTGATTTACACATTAGAAGCAGTTTAATGATGGTTATCTACCGAATTACGGAGAGATGAGAAAGCATTATTAACCGGATATTTTGCGTTCTGGGTTTGTAGAACGATTTATCACAGGAGGTAGAATGAAGGAGAAGGGATGGGGGGGGGGAGGGTGAGAAAGTGAAGAAGAAGAAGGAATAATGAATGATAACGTAGTATGTTGTTGTGAATGATGATATATGATGATGAAGTGTCGTTCTAAGAGAGAGAGAGAGAGAGAGAGAGAGAGATGTACTCTTATATGTATCTCTCCTTTTTTTGTTAATTTAATCTATTTATCTAATCTATCTACCTCTTGTCTGTCTCACCCAGATGATGTACCCACCTTCACACATTGAGACGATAATGTAAACAGGACACAACGCAAACAAAACATTGAGTAACTAATCCGGTCTTATCCAGAGTGTATTTTAACGCTCCGGCTGACTGCAGTTAACACACCATTAACAGCGCCATTATACCAACACGACTGTAATCCTCTTGTAGTTGGGTTGAATGTTTATTATTGTCGTAATTTATATTAATAACCGTAATGTCACATCGATTATATTGACACTTTCTAACATATTGATGTCAACCAATGTTTATGTTGATTTTTAGTGTTATTGATGTTAGTATTGTTGTTGAATCTTGATGGTGGGCTCAGCACCTAAGGTCATTTTTTTTATCCTGTGAACAACTGTGATGGCTTATCGATATTTTTTTTATAAACATGTTGTATCGCTTTATATTTACGTTTATTTGTATTGGGTTTCATTCGATAATCTTTGACATAACAGGTTGGAATCCGGGAGGGGTGCAAAGTCTGCTAGGAATGGTAAACATAACTTGGAAATGTTTTTTGGTGGTGGGCTATGGTGTCCTACCCTCAGACCTTTGTTGTTAACCGATTTTCTTTTAAAAACTGTAACTGTACCTTCATAGGAGTACAGAGTGAGGGTGGTTTGGCGTGTCTGGGCTGTAAAAAAAACACCCGCCTTGTTTAGGGCAAAAGGGCACGGCGGTTGAGTGGATACAACGCTCGTTTACTGCCTTAAGGGTCGTCGATGGTTCGTTCCCCAGGCCATCCAACTGTAAAAGGGCAGTCGAGTTCGGTGCCTCCTTGTATCCACACTCTTCCTAACGAGATTGTCACGTGTATGAACCCACTTTATTTTTTGTTAGGTTAGGTTAGGTTACCCCTCACCTCATGGAAGGATTGTACAGTATAAATTATTTCATACATAATTAATGTCCTAGATACACCAGCAGGTATAATCGCTTGTATATTTTAGTACATCAAAATAATTCCTTGTATTTTTTTTAACGAGTGTCCCATAAAGACCAGGACGCTGCATCATATCATAAGGAAGGGAAAATTACGTTAAATTATAGAGCACAACCACAAAGGAGTCTTATCGCCTTCCAGGTGGACTGCCGCGTTAGTTATTTGTCTCTGTAAATAAGGGGGGAGAGAAATTGAGAGAGGGGGTAAAGAGAGAGAGAGAGAGAGAGAGAGAGAGAGAGAGAGAGAGAGAGTCCAGCAGCCCATGTCTTGTACAGGTGTGTTGTATGTTAATCATTGTCTTAATTATTCTCAGGTGCTCATGTAGGTATGTCGGTCTTGTTTATGGTACAGTGTGTGTGTGTGTGTGTGTGTGTGTGTGTACAGGTATATGTAATATGTGTAACTAGGTATCAAACTCAGGTAAACATAATCTTAGAGGCATATCAGCGGAGTTGGTCAAGTACTCTGAGGTGTTCACATTACTGCACTACATTATGAACGGGGAGGTTCAGGTGAGGCTCAGCAGTTAATGTGTTTGACTCAGGTTACCATCCCCAGCCATTAAGATTAATATAGTTATACCTGGCCAGAACCACAGCCACACATAAGCTGACGTGATATCTTAATCATGTTTACACAATTAGACCTAATTCAGATAATTACCCATGATAGCGATAGCATCATGGTGAAGTAAAGCGGATTTAATACCTTGGTTATCATGTTCTTATAACCAAGTTCAGAATATTACT